GTAATAATAAAAAATGAAGGTTACACCATGGATTATTGAAGCAAGACGACCAATAATTTGGTCCTATGTAAAATTATTTTTTTGTGTTTTTTGTATTATTGTTTGACATTAAAATGAAAGATTTGTTGTGAGTATCACCGCACATTCTTTCAAATTCATTACTTCATCATTTGTGAAAAAATTCACATGAAGTTTCCATGAAAATATTACAGCTTTATTTTTAATTATGCACATGTCATATTCACAACGTTGCGGCTGTTGTACGCTCCGGCCTTCTTCAGGCGATTGGAATTTCGAATCGAACCCTTTATTTTGTCCACCGAGGTAGATTGTTCTTGTTCCAGGTGCCATGCCTCTTCCGGATGTCTCAGTTATTTCCCTTTAACGTAACTCTCCAAGGCGTGGTTACCACTGCTGTCGCCTGGTATTGAACTCACAACTCTTTGGGTCCTGTCACTGAATCTAACTAACGTCTTTGGAGAATTAAGTTAAAGGGGAATAAATGAGACACCTGGAAGAGTTGTGGCACGTGGAACTAGAGCAATCTACCCCGGTGGACGAAATAAAGGGTTCGGTTCGAAATTCCAATCGCCTAAAGAAGGCCGGAGCGTACAACGACCGAAACGTTGTAAATATGGTATTGAAGATGAGGATAACAGTCCGAATAATGTAAATAAAAGATAATACTTCATCTCAGAGATATAGACAGATATAAAATATTTTCTGGCTTTAAATAACCGGCCAAAGGTCAGTAGTCCGTAAAAAATTGATTATTTAATAAACTTCTCTTTTCGGCTTCTTCTTCTGTTTTATATATATATATATATATATATATATATATATATATTTTACAAAACAGTTCATTACCTCTCATTAAATCATTTCATTGTTTCTATCTTTTTCTTTCTCCCTTTCTCGTCTCATGCTCTTGGCAAAAGATCTCTTAATATCCTTTCGAATTTTTTTTCTCTCTCTTCTTTCTTTTCTCTCTCTTTTTTTCTCGATCACCTTATCCTTTGTATCTTTTCCCTATTTCACTCTTTTCTCAAAAGATCTCTTTATCTCTCTTCATTTCCTTACTTACTTCTCCTCTTCTTCATATATTTCTGACATTTTATCTCTCAATAATGACCTTTCTTTGACATCATCTTCATTTTTCTGCTTCGTTCGTCAAGAAACGATCTTCTTTTTTTTTCGCGATAACAAAAATATCATTCTCTCATGAATTAGTGAAAGTTCAATGAATATGCAAATAAGATTTCCCATACACTCTTCTTTTTAAAGAGCGTTTAATATTGTTTAAGATTATTCTTTGCTTTATTATTTTTTTCTGAAGTAAAATTTCCAAAAATAAGCGTTTTAGAAGTTCAAAAATATGAAATGTGCTCTGAAAGTCATGCCTGTTATTTTATTATATTGGCCTACGACGTTAGAGGCTAATATTGGTTGTGTCGGAAAATAGGGATAAATTTTATCTTGGACGGGATAAAATCGATTTTCTAGCGGGTAATGAAAAGTTAACTAGATTCTGCCTAAAGTGCACAACTGCCGCGCAAGAAATCGAAAATGCTTCATTTTATTTATTTTTGCCTTGAAGTTATTTGCAGGATTTTTTTTTTTTTATTTGTTTTCCTTACTTTTTTTTTTCATTTAGTTGCCTTACCTTTTAAACTTCTGCTTCTGTAATATTGTCACAACATAATATGTAGCTTGAACTGGCGTTTGTACGACCCAGTCGTTGTTGTGTAGTGGGGTGCTCTGCTTGTGTCACTGCGTTAGTCTCCACGTCTGTTGCCAGGCTAATACAACAAAGTCTTAGCAGCTTTTTCGCCATAACAAAGATTTCTTGTACTAATAAATATTACAACGCATATGATCTGTATAGGCTACTTTTATTGTTCCCAGTAGAGAGAAACTTCACTGACTTAACATTTTCTAGAGTATATGCGCTTACCAAGCGAAAAAAGTCTCAATAAAGAATTATGGAGGAGGAAGCTGCATTTTACCAGGAAATCTCGCGTTCTTGCTAATTTCTGATTCGTCAATTCACGGACCGATGAAATGTTACCACAAAATCTTGCTTCTTTTCTTTTTTCTTTCAGAACATTGACCGTCAACTAGCCCTGTCACATATATCCTATTTCGAAAATACGATATATTACCAACAATCTGTGTGACTGTTTCTTATTTACGGATTGTTTTTCTTATACTAATTGTTATTCTAATTGTTATTCTAATACTTAACCTTAAATTATTCATTTTTGTTTTACACCCAAAATGTTATATTTACTTTACTATTTAGATTTCTACTAGTTTTATTTTTCAACTGATGCTTGACTTATTTTTTTCAATTTCTGTTTACCTTATTTTTTATTTTCTTTGCCTTATGTTTTCAAAATGTATTCATGTTGGAGAAATATATCTTCCGTCCAGGGTATGACGATAAACTACATCCGCGTCCTTGGTATGACGATAAACTACATCTGCGTCCTGGGTATGACGATAAACTACATCCACGTTCTGGGTATAAAGATAAACTACATCCGCGCCCTAGGTAAGACGATAAATTACGTCCAACATCAAGGCCGCTGATGAGGGGGTTTTGAGGAGCATGGAACCAATTGTTAATTGCTGGTGTTCCCAGGTCCACTTTGACCCGGGGTGGTAACACCTGTTAGGGTCCCATCTATGGGCAGGTAGTTGACCCCACAAATATCTATGAATGTGTAAAAATAGGTTTTAATACCAGCAATACATTCTAGCAATAGTAACCTATTACCAGCAATGAATTTTTGATGATAAAATTATTAACAGCAATACAATTTTGGAAAAAAAATTTTAGCAGTAATACCTTTTTTGAAAAAATATTACCAGCAATAAATATTCTGTCGGCATTAAATAACCCATTGAGGTTGATATGCCGTAAAACAAAATAAACCAAACGAAATATATCTTTAAAATAGCGGTTATTTTGAAGTTCACATTCACAAAGAATATTTTTCCATTCAGCATGTACTTATCTCGGTTTAACTAATATCCTTTTTTTGCAACCGTCAAAGAGACTATCAAATTATCTTCGCTAACTTCTCTAGAATACGTGAAAAACAAGCGATTACCTTATTGTTTAAATTCAATTAGCAACAACGATTTCGGCCCTTAAAGAATCTAAACAAAATGCAATTAACGAATGGATAATGCGTCATAAAATGTTTTTATAAAATGTCCTTCTTTTCAAAGAGTCATAACAGAATATTTGATTTCCTGATCTACAATGCCAGTTGAGCCAAGTTAAATTGGATCAAATTCGATCAAAATGTGATCAAAAATTAAGTGGTTTCCAATTTGCAGTCAACACACTTCTAAATCAATAAGAAACAAAAACAGAATGAATTCTGAAGAATCCTATTTATAACCCTCGATTCTGTCCGTCTTAGCATCATTTATATTCCTCGATCCTCCACTTTTAAATATCATAATAATATGTGGAACCGATTCCGAAGAGGATGCTTTCCTAATCACGACAATCTTAACCAGTTCAAGTCGAGGATTAACTGATACCTTTCACATATATCCCCATAAATAGTGTTTCGTTAAGCTTCAGTGTTTCTGTAAGCTTCTATCTTGAGTGGCTCTTTTGTCTTCTACATGGTGAACATGATTTTAAAAAATCACTTTATATATATATATATATATATATATATATATATATATATATATATATATATATATATATATATATATATATATATATATATATATATACATGTATATATATATATATATATATATATATATATATATATATATATATATATATATATATATATATATATATATATATATATATATATATATATATATATATATATATATATATATATATATATATATATATATATATATATATATATATATATATATATATATATATATATATATATATATATATATTTCTGACATGAAAACAATAGACAAAAACTAAAAATACTTGAAGCATTATACATCAAACAGTTAAAACCCAACCTAAACAAAATCAACTATGGAATCTCTACAAATATTCTTAAATGTCTATAATTTCTATAATTGGTAACAGAAGCCATTGGTTTATACCAACGGCTTTCCTTATTTCATTCTACAATACACTCTCGTGTAGTCATGTGTGACGTCATGAGATGCGGTGCGATTTTCGCTTCTAGCGTCTTATATGCGCGTGTTCATCGTTGCTTAGTGATCCACTATGTAAACAAAACAATGACAGACTATCATCGCTGTCGTGTCCGTATATTGTTTGATATGTTTGTAATTACATCTTTGATAATGGCTTGAGTAAGCCGAAAGCTTAGATTATATTAAAAAAATAATGGATAAATATTGTGAATTTCTTTTTTCGGTTAATGATAATGTTACCAAACTTATCAGAAGATACGAAAACATTTTACATAAAATAAATAGACAACACTTGTCTATATTATTTAATGAAACGTGTATATATATATATATATATATATATACATATATATATATATATATATATATATATATATATATATATATATATATATATATATATATATATATATATATATATATATATATATATATATATATATATATATATATATATATATATATATATATATATATATATATATATATATATATATATATATATATATATATACGTTGATATTATTTATTGCTGTCGGTATGTCCGTGTGAATTTTCTTTTTTGCCACTCGGACCTGGTTGTGTTGATATAATTCAGATAGGGATATTTAATGACTGCACAAAATAGTCAATCCCTCTTCGTCATATATAAAAAATTAAAATCATTTATGGCACTTCTGCCTAAGTTCATTTTGATATTTATACGCTTTCAGCAATCACTGACACTTTTGGCTGGGATCAAAGTTTTCTTCACCTTCCTAAAGTGTGTTTTTTCTTTTCTTTTTCTTTCTTTTTTTTTTTTATTCGAGAATTTAATGAGATAGCTTTGATCGATGCTTTATTCCGAGGAGTTAATGGTTACTGACGGCAGCGTCAAAATGGTCGCGGGAACTGAGTTAATTTTCCCTCCCCACCCCACTATAAATGCATATGGGAATCCGATACTAAATCGTCACGTTCTATCAGGGAGCGGTAGTAGTTTCGTTTCGAAATTGTTCAATCATTACTCTTCATCACAAACACACACACACACATATATATATATATATATATATATATATATATATATATATATATATATGTATGTATATTATTACAGGTTTCGTTAAACACGTTATGTCTACTTATTTTCGATAAGATGCTTTCATATTGGCGAATAAGCTTTTTTTTGTGCGAAAAGACGAGAGGATAACACCGTCTCGGCTCATATGGTATTTATTCCGAGAACTTTCGACATAGCATAAGGTCATCATCAGGGTATTGTTAGATATAGACCAAGTATTTAGTGTTCATGGTTGTGAAGGACAAAAATTGTTGTAGCCATTACCATTTTTATTTGTGGTGTCAAGGATGCTGTGTCATGGCTTGGGTGACAGACACCGTTTTAAGGGGAGCAACTAGGTATTCTGTAGAAAAATTCCGGGCTTGAGTAGTTGCTAGATAAAGGAAAAACTATTAATGACAAACGCCGACATTTCAAAAGTATCTTTTGTACATTCTAAAATGTTTGCAGAGTATTTGTAATTATATATATATATATATATATATATATATATATATATATATATATATATATAGCTGGCCACTCGTATTCGACGATACAAGTCTACTAGGGTGCCTACCCAGTCCCTATTACAGACGCTAGCTCAGGTGCATTTGTGTTGGCTCAACACCCACAGATCCCACCTATGATTTATACTGCAACTATGCTGAGCAGACCTTAGTTACAGTTTCTGGGAAAGAGAGTGTAATCTAGTGTGATCAACAATGTGAACAAGGCCAGAACGCTGAAGCCCTCGGCCACGATGACTTGTGACTTCGTGTTAGCACAGCTATCGACGGCCTCCGTCTAACCAATTTCCCTCACAAGGCTTGAGTCAACCCTTGGGATCAACCCCTCCAGTCCGATAACTTCCTGACAAATTGACAATGGTAAGATTCTATCCTTTATATATATATATTTATATATATATACAGGGGGGAAACAAATATTCGTACATTTACAAATTTTTAATTTATTGTAATTCCAACTAATGAATAAACATATTTTTTTATATAAAGTATATTATGTACACAGATGCATAATAACTAAATATCCATAGAAAACAGAAAAAAATTGATTAATAGAAATAATTTCAATTTATCCATTTTAATAGGTGAAAAAGTATCCATACAATGCAAATTTCAGATTTAAAAATTTAAAATTGCTTTAATCCTCTACATTATTCAAGCGGAATATTCTAGAAAGTTCAACAGTGTTATCAGTAGTTATTTTTAGCCTGAATACAAACAGAACGTTCTGTAATTGATATTCGTGCAAGAAGGTTATCATCATAGCAAGAGTAAAGGATTGATAAATTCACAAAATGAACTGATTGTTAAACTTTGGAAAGACGGTAAAAGTTCCAAGGAAATCTCAGATAACTTGAATATTCCATTGACTATTTTTTTTCATTCCTTGCAACATATAAAACAAATAAAAAACTTTTGAAACCAAAGAAAAAAGGTGCTGCATGGAAGATTTCTTCAAGAAAGGAAATTAATGCGTCAAATTAAACAAAATCCAATGGTTACTCACCAAGAGTTGATGTTACATAAGGAATCAGTGTCACTAAACAGACAATAAGCAATGAAATTTATAGGAACAATCTAAAGCCACGCTACACTGGGAAAACTTCACTGCTATTGAAAAGACACAGTGATGCCATGTTGAAATTCGTTCATGAACATAAGGATAAGGGAAAATCATATTGGGTAAGAGTATTATGGACAGATGAAAACAAAACTGAGTTATTTGGACATAATTCTAGAAATCATGTATAGAGGAAAGATGGCGATGCTTTCAAACAAAAGAACACAGTTCCAACAGTAAAATTTGGTGGTGGCAGCATCATGGTTTAGGGATGTTTTTCTGCAAAACGTACTGGTAACATATCGGGTAATAGATGATAGAATGAATGCTGCAGCATATCGAAATATTTGGGAAACAAATTTAATGATTTCGGTTGAAAGTTTTGATATTCCTACTGATTGGATTTTCCAAAATAATGATACTAAGTAAAATCTACGAAGAAATGGCTTGCTAAAAGTATTGTGAATATCCTTAAATAGTCAGTCCCCAGAAATAAACCCAATCCCAATTGAGATCCAATCGAGGGCTCCAACAAACATCCCAGATCTGAAGACCATATGCAAAGAAAATGGAACAAAATACCAACTAAAATTTGCAAATCATTAATTGAAAACTACAAGAGGTTCGTTGCTGTAGAAGTGAATAATGGCTATTCTACAAAGTATTAAATGAAGATTATGTATTCATATTTGTATTGTACG